TGGGGATAGCTTACATCTCCCATGTGATTATTTATGATCTGTTTGTCCCATCTGTTCCTCATTACTCTTTATCTTTTATACTGATTTCTTTTAGATTCATTCAATATATTTTATGGCTCCATTTCATTTTTGCCATTAGCCGAGTAGATATTTACTTTTAAATTTTCTTATATTTGCTCTAGTATTTATAAAGTTTTAACTTATCACTGCCTACTTTTAAACACTAATAAAACACTTCACATCAATAACAAGATCYTTAAAATAGTATATTTTCATGGACCACCTACATCTTCTGTGCTATATTTTCATAAAGTTTSCTTCTATATTTGTTTTAAATCTCACATATTTTGTGCTTTAAGCATCCATTTACCTCTTAAAGAGATTAAAAAGTAAGAAAAGTATGTTTTATATTTATCTTCATATTTTATAAAATGGCTTTTCTGGCTAATAATATCATTTTTTAGGAGGGAGACTAAATCTATCAGCTTGTCTTCTATTCTTGGCAAGATCTGAATCTCTTAATTCCTAAGTTATTCTTACAAACCAGCAATGTCTCAWGAGTTTTTTTTAAAATAATTTTTTGTAGTTGTAGATGGATACAATACCTTTATTTTATTTATTTATCTTTATGTGGTGCTGAGGATCAAACCCAGGGCCTCACATGTGCTAGGCAAGCGCTTTATCACTGAGCTACAACCCCAGCCCCATTCATGAGGTTTATAGTGTTGTAACTCCAGAGGGTGCTTCAGAGTTTAGTCAATAATTCACATAAGAGATCTGAGGACATTTTCAAAGACCTGAATCCAGGTTTTGTTTTGTTTTGCTTTTTAAAAGCACAGAGAGAGTTCATATGTTCATCTTCTTTCTCATTGTTCATTCATTCATCAAACTTGGATCAATCATTAACTGTCTATTCCAAGCTACAGTGATGAGAATACAAAGATACTATACTTTCTCAGAAGGATCTTTAACTAGTAAGTAGGAAGACAATAAAATAAAAATTTAAAATGCATTATTTAGTTGTTTCCTCCTCAGTGCCTACTATCATTTCTCCCATAATTCTTTGTTCCCTGTGTTTTATAACTTGGTTACTATATGTGTGCTAAATTATAATTACCATAATAACAATAATGCAGATAGTAGTGTTGTTACATATATTTTACGCCTCTACTTTTTGAATCCTTAGGAAAATTATATGAAGTATTATTATCCTGCTTTTGCAGAGGAGGAAATGAAGTCTCAAAGAATGATGTGCCCAAAGTCACAGCTATTACATGAGTGATCTGAGACAGGATTTAACCCAGCTCTGACTTATTGAAGCGCTCATGTTCTGTCAGAAATATGCAGAAAGGTTGGTCCAAGATTTCTACTTCTGCTCTGAACCTCATAATAGAGGGGTTTGGGAATACTACAAGTGGCTAATAAAAAAAACCTCAAAAAGCAATCAACAGAGCAAGGCATGGTGGTGCACACCTGAAATACCAGATACTTGAGAGTCCGAGGCAAGAGGATCACAAGTTCAAAGACAGCCTCAGCAACTTAGTGAGGTCCTGAGCTGAAAGGAAAGTGACCACAACACTCGAGCGACCAAGAGATCTTTATTGCAGCGGTGAGAAAGAGGAGGAGAGAGAGAGAGAGAGAGAGAGAGAGAGAGAGAGAGAGAGAGAGAGAGAGAGAGAGAGAGAGAGAGAGAGAGAGAAGAAAGGGGGGGGGGAAGAGCGCAAGAGAGTGGAAGCATGAGAGAAGAAAGAGAGAGAGAGAGATAGAGGGGAGAGTTTTTATAGCCCAAATCTAATGGAGTCTCTGGTCTGCAAGCTGTCTTGTTGGTGTACAGTGATTGGGTCAGCCAGTAGTTGCTAAGGGTGTCATCTTCTGTCTTCAGGCAGACCAGGCAGGGGGTTGGATATGGGTTTCCGTTGCATCAGACAGGTGGGGGCCGAGTTTAGACTTGAGTGGGGTTGAGTGTTCAGACTTGAGGCAAACAAGCGATAAGGAACCAGACAGAGGGGGGTCSAGTGTCCTGCAGCGAATATTGGTTCAGCCTGCTCCGCAACTAACAGGAGCAACTTAGGGAGACCCTGTCTCAAAATAAAAAATAAAAATGGCTAGGGATGTGGTTCAGTGATTAAGCKCCTTTGGGTTCAATTCCCAATTCCAACCCCCACAAGCAACAGCAACAACAAAATAATAATCAGCAGAGAAAAAGAGCAACCTACAGAATGGTAGAAAATATTCGCAATGACTATATCTTATAAAGGGCTAATATTTAGAATATATAAAGAACTCCTATGCTGCAACATAAAAAGCTAAATAATCCTGACCTTCTGATTAATTCTATAAGTTCACAGGTGGCCGTTTTTGTTAGCATGGTTAATTTATTCACCAGTTTGGGCCCTGGGTTATGCAAGGCAGATGGTGGTTGTTTACTGGTACAAACAAGGTGCAGAAACATTCCACCTCAGAACTTAAAATGCAGTAACTCCCAGCATACCACTGCTTTAAAAAATAGAGTGGCCCAAGATTAGGCACAGTCTGAAAATGGCTGTTCTATACATCATGGAGTGACTCAGAGCAGGGCACGGTCTTCCGTTCATACCTTGCACACCATTGGTGGGAATGTAGGATGGTGTCAAGAACACGGTGTGGAAGTTCCTCAGAAAGCTAACAGTAGAATTACCATATTATCCACTAGTCTCACCTCTGGGTAGATATCCAGAAGAACTGAAAAGTAGGATCTTAAAGGGATATTTGCACACCCTTGTCCATTTCAGCATTGTTCATAATATCCAAGAGGCTGGAGGAACTCAAATGTTTATTGAGGGAGGAATGGGCAAAGAAATGGCATATAATTCAGCTTTCAAAAAGAGGGAATCCTGTCCTATTCTACAACATGGAAAAACCTTCAGGGCATTATTTTAAGTGAAATAAACTAGTCTCTCACACACACACACACACACACACACACACACACACACACCAAACCAAAACAGAACAAATACTATATGATTCTGCTTATATGAAGTAATCAAACTCATAAAAACAGCAGAATGTTGTTTCCCAGCCACTGGGAGAGGAGACAATTGAGTGACATTCTTCCAAATGTATAGAGATATTTTTTATTTACTCTTTGGTGCTGAGGATGGAATCCAGGGCCTCCTGGATACTAAGCTGCCATTCTACCACCCAGAGCTGTAGGGTGTTTTCTGCTACTTAGAGATGGAACTCAGGGGTGCTCTATCATTGAGCTACACTCCGGCCCCAGATATTTTTACTTTTTATTTTGAGACAGGATCTTTCTAAGTTGCTAAGGCTGGCCTGGAACTTTGTGATCCTTTTGGCTTAGCCTCCCGAGTAACTCTGATTATAGATGTGTGCCACCGAACCTGGCCACAGTTCTGATTTTGCAAATTGAAAATGTACTAGAAATCTCCATACTGCTTTCCACATTGGCTGCACCAATTTGCAGTCCCACCAGCAGTGTATGAGTGTACCTTTTCCCTCACATCTTCGCCAACACTTATTGTTGTTTATCTTCATAATAGCTGCCATTCTGATTGGAGTGAGATGAAATCTTAGAGTAGTTTTGATTTGCATTTCTCTAATTGCTAGCAATGATGAACATTTTTTCATATATTTGTTGATTGTATATCATCTTCTGAGAAATGTCTGTTCAGGTCCTTGGCCCATTTATTGATTGGGTTATTATTATTATTATTTTTTTTTTGGTGTTCAGCTTTTGAGTTCTTTATAAACCTTAGAGATTAGTGCTCTATCTAATGTGTGAGGAGTAAAGATTTGCTCCCAAAATGTAGGCTCTCTATTCACCTCACAGATTGTTTCTTTTGCTGAGAAAAAACTTTTTAGTTTGAGTCCATACCATTTATTGATTCCTGATGTTAATTCTTGTGCCAAAGGAAGTTGGGGCCTAATCCCACATGATGGAGATTAGGGCCTATTTTTTCTTCTATTATATGCAGGGTCTCTGGTCCATTTTGAATTGAGTTTTGTGCATGGTGAGAGATAGGGGTTTAATAAGCAGTATGGAAATTTCTTGGAAAATTGGGAATGGAACCACCATTTGACCCAGCTATCCCCCTCCTTGGTCTATAGCCAAAGGATTTAAAAACAGCATACTACAGGGACACAGCCACATCAATGTTTATAGCAACACAATTCACAATAGCTAAACTGTGGAACCAATCTAGATGCCCTTCAATAGATGAATGGATAAAAAAATGTGGCATATACACACTGGAATATTACTCAGCAATAAAAGAGAATAAAATCATGGCATTTGCAGGTACATGGATGGAGTTAGAGAAGATAATGCTAAGTGAAGTTAGCCAATCCCAAAAAACCAAATGCTGACTGTTTGATATAAGGAGGCTGATTCATAGTGGGGGAGGGAGAGGTGTATGGGAGGAATATATGAACTCTAGATAGGGCAGAGGGGTGGGAGGGGAAGGAAGGGGATATGGGGTTAGAAATGATGGTGGAATGTGATGGACATTATTATCCAAAGTACATGTATGAAGACACAAATTGATGTGAATATACTTTGTATACAACCTGAAAAAAAAAAGAAAATGTACTAGAGATCCCTTGTACAGCAATGTCAATACTGTGCACACTACTGAACAGTAGTGCACTGAATAATACACTTACAATTCTTAAAATGGTAAATTTTGCTACGTGTTTTCCACAATTTTAAAAACAAATTTAAGAAAAAAAGTGCAGAGGAGGGCAGCTTCATGCTATGCTCTTAATGTTGGAATTGTTTAAATAAATAGAGCGTTGACAGCTCTAATGACGACGACAGTACCTCAATCAGCATCAACCTTGCTTTCCCCAAAGAGGGAACCTCCTCCTTGCGCTAGGTGTCACGCTCGCCGGGCCTCCCTTCGCCCCGCCCTATCCCCGCCCACAACTTGGTTTAATCCAATCGCAGCCGTGGCTCCGCCCCCTCGGCTGTGTCTCTTTCCTGCATCCGGGCTCTTTCCTGCAGGCCGGCTGGGAAAGCATGGAGGTCCACGGTGAGCTTAGCGCCAGCCCCAGCTCAAGCTGTTCGTCGTCCACCCGGAACTGCTCGGGGGCCTCCGTGTCCAGCGAGCTGCTGACAGCGGGGAGCCATGGCCGAGGAGGTGAGGGGCCGGTGGCGGCGGCGTGGGGCGCGCACGTGCGGCGGAGGAGCCCCAAGGACCGTGCGAGGCCGCGGCGGGGCTGGGGCTGGCGCGGGCGGTTCTGTTCCGCTAGACGGTGGGCGTCCACGTTGCGGAGCGCGGCAGCGGGGCTCCTCGGGTGCCGCCAAGCTGGGGCGCAAATCGGAGCGAGGGCGTCGGGTATGGCGGTCTGGGTCCATGCACCTGCTGGTCGGGAAGATGGTGATCATTCAGCTGAACACTGCGCTCCTCCTCCTCCGCGCACAGAGCTCCCCCAGTGCCGCGCTCTTGGAGGGAGACGTGCACAGAATTTCAGACACTAACAGAATTAAAGGATGGCTTCGAATCCTGTTCCACAGTGGGACTTCTAGGAGACTTATTTACCTTCTCCAAACGTCGGCGTTCACTTTTCGAGAATGGAGGTGGTAGCACCAGTAGAATTTCTGTGAGCAGGAGGAGAATGCATAAAAGGGCCTGCGACTGTTCTTAGTAGGTAGAAGGAAAGATTTTCTTCTAGCTTGGAGAAAAGATGAGAATCCAGAGCATGAGAAGGAGCTGTAATGACAGTGATAGCCAAAGCTCGTGTAGTGCTTGCTATGCCTCAGATTTTAGTACTGAACAAATTTAATACTGCACGAAACTGAGCAGAAGGTTCTCTTGTTTTCTCCGTTTTATAGGTGAGCAAGTTGAGGCATGGTGTGCATACAGATAAAAAACCAGATCATTAAAGAATACATCTGAAGGGATTGTGGCTGGAAAGTAGCAAACCTGTGATGTGATTTCAAGTAGTCTGGGTGCAGCTCTGCTTTTAACTCTAATCCAATGACTAGTCCTTAAGTAGTAAATATTCAGTGGGTATTTCTTTAACTCTGCTTTGAGGATTAACAGGATTTTTGTACCAGAGAGTGAATAGATTTTCCAGGTATTAGAAATGGTGGGTAAATCCAGTAGCTGGGGAGGCTGAGGCAGGAAAATTGCAAGTTCAGGGTCAGCCTGAGCAAATTAGCAAGATCCTGTCTCAAAATAAAAAGGATTGGGGATGTAGCTCAGTGGTAGAGCACCCCTGGGTTCAGTCCCCAGTATCACAAGAAAAAGAAAAGAACAAAAATAATAGAGAAAAAGAAATAATGTCAAAGCCTTGAGTTTTAAAAGTTCTGTTCTCAGAGCTCTCATGGGCTAGAAAGTTAGGTTGACTGGAGGAATAGTGGGTGAGAAAGCTCAAAAGGTGGAACGGGAAACAAAATTTCCCTGAAGAGCTGCTTTGCCTAGCTTGGGCATCTCTGAAGAAGTAACCAGATAAGCATATTTTACAAATRAAGAAACAAATGCTCCAAGTTGACTGATTTTACAGACTTAGAAACTTTACTCAACTAATATTATACTGGTGCTGCTTCCTCTATCATTGCAGGCTCGCTTTTGTGCACTGATGCGTTTCTGACCTAGAAAAATGGAATTCAATGTGCATTTATTACTCATAGGTGTAATAATAATGATGAAGGAGACAGGCTTAAGAAAGGATATACACACACAGTCAAAATGTACTGAAACTCCGAGTGCCTCTTTTTTACAGTGCAAGAGATTGAACCCAGGGCCTTGAATATGCTAGGCAAGCACTCTTTCACTGAGCTACACCCCTAAACCTCAGTCCCTGTTATTTTTATTATACTATAGTTAATCAGTTTCTATGTGTTTTCAGGTATATGGGACAGGTTACTCATCAACTCCAAGCCTAACTCCAGAAAGGCCTCCACTCTTCAGACAGTTCGGATAGAGAGGAGCCCGTGTAAGTACCTCATTCCCTGTCTTGTGCTAAGAATGCCAAAGTTTGTCTAATGAAGATGTTATTTGATGGGGCTGTCTCTGTCTTCATAAGGCAGACATCAAGCCACAAAGTCCAGTAGAATAAGTCCTATTGTAAAATCAGTATACAAGGATAGAATTTCTTGTATCATTCCCCTGCCTTAAGCTGACTTTCCTGTAAAGCTATTTGAGGTATGAATTTTTGGAAGCCAAAAACAATTATTGTTGTTAGTGGGGTGTGCTGATCTGCTCCCACAATCCTGGCACTTGGAGGCTGAGGCCCAGGGATCACTTGAGTCCAGGAAACCAACCTGGGCAGCATAGGAAGACCTACACTCAAAAAAGAAACCAACAAAAACTAATTGTTACTGGTACCGTGTCACATGCCTCTAATCCCAGATACCTGGGAGGCCAAGGCAGGAGGATTGCAAGTTAGAACCTACCTTGGATATATTAGCAAAACCCTGTTTAAATTTTTTAAAAAAACAACAGCAGTGGTTAGCTTAATGGTAGGATGCTTGTCTACCATGGGAGAAATTGCTGGTGCTGCAAAAAAAATTTAAAAAAATTATGGTTAATCTCCATGTTATTTTTTTTAAGAAAGCCCCATGACATCCTTCAATTGGACACAGGTACTTAAATGGTAAATGTTGCTTATAGTATGACATAACCAAGCCAGTTCTGTTTAATAATTATTCTATATTACTATACTGCACATTTATAAGTTTGTTCAGCACTCACTTTTCAAATGGCTCCTATATAATAGTAAATGCCTGTTAATTCAGATGTCAAATATTTAATGAAAACAATGTAAATGATGCAGGAGGTTATTGCATCTATAAATTAAGAAATCATGAATACTCCAAAAACTGAACCATTCCATGCACTGAATCTATAGTAGCTAAAATGACTACATGGTAGCTTTTTGTTCAAATTTTGTGTAGACGTAGGTTTTCATTTTGGGAAGGTGCATACTTAGAAGTGAAATTGTCCAATTGTTTGCTTAAATTCATCTATCATTTTGCATTCCTGAAAGCAAGGTAAGAGGGTTTAGTTAGTTGCTGCATATCCTCACCAACATTGAGTGTAGTTTATTCTATTGTGTGTGTAATGGTATTGGTTTGTGGGTTTTTTGTTTTTTTTTTTAAATTTTGAGACAGGATCTTGCCAAGTTACTGAGACTGGCCTTGAGTTGCAGTCCTCCTGCCTCAGCCTTTTGAATATCTGGGATTACAGATGTGTACCACCACACTCAGCAAGCATCTTTTCATGTGTTACTGTTTAAATGTTTTTGGTGAACTATTGGTTAAAATCTTCAGTCCATTTAAAATATACTACCTTATTGATAAAACACCATTTTTTATAGTGGAGGTGTGCTGGTGATGACTTTGCTAGCCTTTGTTTTATTGTTTTTATACTTTAAAAAAGAATTTTTAAAATTTTTTTTTGGCAATACTGGGAATTGAACCCAGGTATACTCTACCACTGAGTCACATCCTAGCCCTTTTTATGTTCTATTTTGAGACAAGGTCTCCTTGAGTTGCTTAGGGTCTCCCTAAATTGCTGAGGTTGACCTTGAATTTGAAATTGTCCTGCCTCAGCCTCCCAAGTTGCTGGGATTACCAGCATGTGTCACTGTGCCTGACTTCTCTGGCTGCTTTTAAGATTTTCCTTACCATTGGTTTTCATCCACTTGATGATGTGTGCAATGGTTTTTCTTGTGATTCTGGAGTGTGGATATTCATTGGCCTTATTGGATTCGTGGGGTTATGGTTTTTATCATTTTTGGGGAAATTTTCACTTTTTCCTTCCAATATTTTTCTCTGCCCCTCTTCCTCTCTTGCCTTTCCTCGAGAAATACACATTTTTGCCAATTGAAGTTACCCCTTTGTTCTTTAATACCTTTTATTTTTTTTAGTCTTACTTTTTGTTTTATTTTGGATAATTTCTGTTGCTGTACATTCAAGTTCACTAATCTTCATTATTGTCTAATCTGTTAATCCTGAATCGGATATTATAGTTTCCTTCTCCACACGTTCAATTTGAGTCCTTTTATCTTTTATTGTTTTCCTCATTGTGCTTTGTTTGCTTTGTTGAGTGTATGCAGTATATTTATGGTAACTATTTTAACATTCTTATTGTCATTAGTGTCATTGCTGATTATTTATATGTTTGGAAATTGTGTGTGTGTAACTGATGATTGAACCCAGGGCCTCACACATGCTATGGGGGTGCTCTACCTATGACCTGTGTCCCTAGCCCATTTAAAATTTTTATGTATTTTATTTATTTGTTCATTTGTTTATGTTTTTTTTTTTTTTTTTTTTTAAGTCCTGGGTATTGAACCCTGAGTCTCCTATGTGGTGGGCAACCACTCTGCTACTGAATTATAACCTCGGCCCTTTTTTCTTTCTTTTCTTTTTTTTTTTGGGGGGGGGGGGGGATGGGTCTCACTGAGTTGCCCTGTCTTACCTAGAACTTGCATCCTCGTGCCTCCCCTTCTCCAATAGGTGAGATTACGGGCATGCATATGGCAGAAATATTTGGCTTCTGAGAATGATTCAGGCTGAATCTGTTGGTATTTATTTTGCTCCACTTGATTCGTTAGTTAAAAACGAAAGCAGAGCTGGGTGTGAGAGCATACACAAGCAGTTCCAGCAACTCTAGAGGCTGAGGCAGGAGGATTGCAAGTTTGAGGCCAGCCTTAGCTACTTAGTGAGGTCCTAAGCAACTTAGACCCTGTCTCAGAAAATAAAAAGGGCTGGTGTTATAGCTCAGTGCTAAAGTGCCTCTGGGTTCAATCTCCAGTACCAAACAACCAAAAATAGAAGGAGATCTTGCCTGTGATAATACATTTGAATGTTTAGACACGGAAATACCTTGATTGTATCTGAAAGGGGAGGAAAACTAACAGTTATTCAGTATTCAGGATGTGCCAGGCTGTGTGTGTGTACATAGTCTCTTCTTCTGTCTGCTGGATATTTTAGTCATCTGTCATATAGTCCTAGTAGTAGCTTGATGAGTTTTGAGAGTTYGTTATGGGGATAGTTTTGCTAGGCCTCTTTTGAGATACAAAGACATTAAATACCCCTTGTTTGTTGACTCCTCTGTATTTAGCAAAGTGCCTGGCAGTTATCACACCTCTATCAGAGGAGCACGCTCAGGTGTTGAGTGGTAAAATCATATTGATTGGTTAGCACTCTTTTTTAAACAGATATAACATTGTTTATACCTTTATTTTATTTATTCATTTTTATGTGGTACCAAGGACTGAACCCAGTGCCACGTGCATGCCAGGCAAGCATTCTACCACTGAGCCACAACCACAGCCCAATAGCTTTATTTTATTTATCTAGGTTTTTTTTTTTTTTATTATTATTTTTTTTTAATGTGGTGCCGGTGATCTAACCCAGTGCCCCATGCATGTTAGGCAAGTGCTCTACCTCTCAGCCCCAGTCCCAGCGCCCAGTTAGCACTCTTGATTGCAGATTAGGGAAACACGGCTCACATTGTCTAAAGAAAAGAAAGAAATTATGTTGGCTTATATTATTGGGGTAAAAGAACCCAGGGGCAGCAATTTCAAGCATATCTGGATCCTGGGACTCCATGTCCTGAGGCGCCTGTGGCTCTGTATCTTTAAGCTCTGCTTTGGTARGTGTTGGCCTGGATCTAGAGTAGGCTCAATCTTCTCTGTGGCAAGTTGCCTGCTCTGTTGGAAGGTTGAGCCTTTTGTTCAGCTGCTCCCTGAATCAGTCACTCAGAATGTTTCTTGACAGTTCAGACAACCACAGTCTGATGAGGTATTAGCCCAACTAGAGTGCTGCATCTCTGTGTGCCACCAAACAAACAGTGGCCCAGGTGTGGAATTGTAGGCATGTGTAGGAGGAGAGATGAGTGACTGACAGTAACACAGGCTTAAAGGGAAGACCAGAAAAAGGGGAGCAGATGTTGGCAGGCATTGACAGTCATTACTTCCTTAACTTGCTTAAGGTAAGTTAGGAGGCAGAGCTGGAATAAGTCAGTAACCGCGACAGTCTCATCGTAAGCCTCAGAACCTGGCATACTTAACTGTTATGGCATTGTCTCCTTACTCAGGTACTTTAGAATGCCATCCTTTCAGGAGTTAGTAGTGCTGGGGTTGTGTGAGGATAGAAATAAAACATTTGAGCCAAGCATAGTGGTGCACACCTGTAATCCCAGCTACTCAGGAGSCTGAGGTAGGAGGGTTGCAAGTTTGAGACCAGCAAGTTAGCAAGACCCTGTCTCAAAATAATAATATAAGGGCTGGGGTTAGAGCTCAGTGGTAGAGTGCTTACCTAGCATGTGGAATGCCCTGTTCAATCCCAGTAATGCAAAACAATTTTTCTTTTTAAAGAAATAATTAGTTGCTGAATTGTGTAGTTTTGTTGCTTTCAGTAGCTTGGTGTGAAGAGGATCATAAGACATTGCTAGCTGGGGCAACTTAGACTTTGTCTCAAAATAAAATTTAGGGCTGGGGTTGTGGCTCAGTAGTAGAGTGCTTGCCTCCTTGTAAGCGTGAGGCACTGGGTTTTATCCCCAGCACCACATAAAACAAACTAAATAAACAAAATAAAGATATTATGTCCATCTACAATTAAAAAAATATTTAAAAAAATAAAATAAAATTGAAAAAACAGCTGGGGATGTAATAMCTCAGTGGTAAAGTGCTTGCCTAGCAAATGTGAGGCTCTGGGTTCAATTCCTAGTACTGGGGGAAAAATAATTCAGAAGTGAACAGAGATTTTTTAACATGGAAACATTGAATGATTTATTATTATTACTATTCAATGCAGATGAATTTACAGAGAATCCTGGATTTTGAATTTACTAACATGAATGTTGCTATGCCATTTTCTCTCTCCGTAGTGTTAGACCAAGTTCAGAACTTTCTCCCCCAGATGGCCCAGGCAAATGAGAAACTACGGAAAGAAATGGCTGCTGCTCCACCTGGTCGCTTCAATATCGAGAGTCTCGATGGGACTCTCGGGAAAGTGATACAGATGGTAAGTGTGCTTTGCCTTTATTTCATACAGTGAAATCAGCATGTGCCTTGTCACCTAAAAGTCAGAGTGAGAACTTGCCCACTGAATCTTTTTTGGGGGAGCGGGGAGCAGGAACCCGGGGATTGAACTCAGGGGCACTTGGCCAGTGAGCCACATCYCCATCCCTATTTTGTATTTTATTTAGAGGCAGACTCTCACTGAGTTGTTTAGCGTCTTGCTTTTGCTGAGGCTGGCTCTGAACTCACCATCCTCCTGTCTCTGCTTCTGAGCCACCGGAGAGCGCACTCGTTTCCAGACTGCGTAGGAACTTAGACGTCTTAAGGTGCATTCACCAGTCCGTGAGCTTCTGTGGGTGGAGCTTAGGGATTTAGTCATGTGGAGTCACTGGTGGGCTTTTTCAGGCCAAATATTACATTTGTTAACTTGAAGCATTAATTTGTCCTAGCTGATTTGATTTTTTCCCAAAAGAGGCAATTATAATCTGATTCATTGAGTGTGTGGAAATAAATGATGTGCTTATAAGGAATGATCAATCCCATAAGCTTCCAGTGAAATTGCCCCATTTGTACTCATTCCGTGGCCACCTGGAATTCCCTTTGTAACACTAGTGTCTGAACAGAGCTGGCAGCAYGGTTAATAGCATCCATTCATCAGCGAATCCCGTTCAGATTCAGGACTGCTTCAGAATAGATCCCCCTCCAAGCACTCTGGGTAACCTCCACGGCTGCCTCTCTCYGTCCAGGTAATTGTGGTTTCTCCTGAACCACTGCAGTAATTTCCTAACAGGGCTTCCTGCTTCTGCTCTGTTCTCCCTGGGGTCTGTTCTTCTTACAGTGTGTGGCACACAGTTTAGTCCCTGAGGTCTTCCCCATAGTGTTCCTAATAATGGAAATTCTTCCCAGGGCTTGGTGATCCAGCCCTCCAGCTCACTCTCTCTGACCCTACCTTCTTCACAGCCCCTTGTCTGCTGTGCTCTGGCTCCAGTGTCATTGCTCCAGGGCTTCTCCTGCGTGACTTTCTCACCTACAATGTGTGTGTCTACATTTCTGCATTTTGGCTCATCTCCTCTCAATTGTCACCTCATCAGGAGAACTTCCCTGGATCTTGTCCTATTTTATCTTTCTCTGTTTTCACTACCCTGCACTCTGCTTTATATGTATTTGTTTGTTTCCTTTCTTTCCCCTCTAGAACGGGGATCAGTAAACATTTTCTGTAAGAGGTCAGATGGGTAAATACTTTGGGCTCTGTGGGCCATTCTTTTATAAGCTGAGCAAAAGTGGGTAGCAGGTAGGGTTTGGCCTTCAGGTTATAATTTGCTGGTCTCTGCTGAAAAATGAAGGCATGGGTTTTGTTTTGATTTTGTGTTGAATCTCTAGAATCTAGTGGGATACCTGGCTCATGTTAATATTTAAATGAAGGGATGTTGAATGTGTCCAGGATATGTAGAGTAAGGCTATAGGAGACCTTTTAGACCTTAATGTCAGTCATGATTCTGGTGGATCTTGGCAACTGAAAACATGATAATGCCATGTTCTATTAAAAAACATTTCTTACCCTTTGTGCATGTTTTTTTTTTTAACAAAGTTTTATAGATTTTTTATGAAATAGATTTCTCACCTGATATGTTTTGCAGGATGTGGCCTTATTTGAGATGGATCACTCAGATTCAAAAGAAATGGACAGTTCAGAGGAGAGTTCACAAGAGAGTTCAGAGGACAGTTCAGAATCTGAGGATGAAGATGACAGCATCTCGYCTGAAGTTACCATAGATAACATTAAGCTTCCTAATTCAGAAGGTGGAAAAGGCAAGATTGAAGTGTTGGACAGTCCAGCAAGTAAAAAAAAGAAACAGTGAAGAAATTGATCTGAAAAGAAACAGGTGGTGTATATCTGCTAATTCTGTGAAAAAGAATGTGGTTCACTGGCTGTTTTACATTTCTGAAGCTGATAGTGTTCTTATGTGTTGAAAGAAAAACTTTAGACGAAGTTAATGGTTTATTTGTGCAAAGAACAGTTCATGAATAGGGTAGCTTTCAAAACGGAAAGGAAGAGGTTCAGAGAACTACGGTCTAGTGATGGCTGACAYGAAATAACAGAAATGACTCGATTTGTGACAGTGAGGCATTTTTCTCATTTGGACATGTTTAAAAGGAAAACTTTTGCTGGGCTTGATGGTACACACCAGTAATCCCACTGACGAGAGTCTTGAGGCAGGAGGATCACAGGTTCAAAGCCAGCCTCAGCAACTGATGGAGGCCCTAAGAAATTTTGCGAGACCCTGTCTCAATAAATAAATAAATAAATAAATAAAAAGGGCTGAGGATGTAGTTCAGTGGTAAAGCCCCTGCGTTCAATCCCCAATACCCTCCCCAAATAAAATAAAAGGAAATTTTTTAGATAAATTTAATGGTTTATTTGAGCAAAGAACAATGCATGAGTTGAGAAGTACTGAAAATGGAAAGGGATTCAAAAAGCTCTGCTCTGTAGTGAGGGCAGACGTGGAAATAGAGCGCAGAAATAACTTGATTTGCTACAGTGAGGCTTTTGCATTATTTGGACAAGTTCTAAAGCTCAGCTGTTTGTTTGGCTAAAACTGTTATTTGTTGAAAGCCCTCCTCCTAAATTAGATTTCAGTTTATTTCTGGGCTGAGGTAATGTACTCATTACATAAGATCTCAGAGTACTGGAGACAACCTCAGGATAGTGGCCTCTTGCTTATTTAATTTAGCATATGTGACATCCAGTGTGTTTTATTTCTCAGACCAAAGCTGGCCCTTGAAGATTTGTGATATATAACATTTCTGCATTTTCCAATGCTACACTGAGATTTTATCTTGTACTAAAGAGATTTGGTGTTTGGAAAGCTTAACTTTGTGTATGATGATGATTGACATCTTTCTTCAGTATGGGTTTCTAGAAATAACAGATTTATTTTAAAGTAAAAATACAAATTGTCAGTTTGTTTCTATTTTAAATTACCTCATGGATAAAACAACCCAGGTTTTCTGTAGGTCACCCTGGTGTTACAGTTGATGCTGCTGCTGAGTGGCCATCATTGTCCCTCTCCCAACTCACAATGAGGCCCTGGGACAAAAAAAGACAAGCCTTTTTTTCCTCAAGTGACTTGGGTCAAATCTTCTAGTTGTTGACGGTACTGCCCACCAGAGAGTCAGAGGGAGCCGACATCAGGTTTGCTGCCTGTAGAAGGAAGGGAGTGAGTACAGTGTCTTCACATGAGCAGATGTCTCTCTCCAAGTGTCCCTTGGGTTGGTGACCAAGCTGGGCATCCCCCTCAAGGTCTCCCAAGGTAGGTCCTGACTAGTGGCCACTGACTGCCGCCTCTGTGCCTTGCTCAGGAATCTTGGCTCTGCAGTGCCCATCCCCAGTCTTTATCTCAGACTTTTCAGTATTTTACTTAATACTGTCCCGGAAGACCTCGTTGATCAGTGGGCAAAGGGAGGGAGGTGGCCTTTCCTTGCTCCCACACAGTGCCAGTCAGGGATTGCCTGGCTCAGGGAATAGTGTCTYCAGGTGGGGTCGTGGTCAAAACAAATGGTGGCTAAGATCAGGGCTGTCGCCCCTGGATGCATGGTGTCTGAGTACCCTGACCTCAAAGGGAGCCTGCCCAGATCTGTTCCCATTACCAGGGTCTAGGCCGGCAGATAACAGCGAGCCTTTCRAAGCTCCTGTAGGGCAGGGGCTCATTTTCCCACAGCCGGGAGCCACATGAGCAGAGTGAGTCCCAGGAAGGACAAGGGCCCACCTCCTTTCTGCCTCTAGGTGCCCTTTGAATAAATTGCAGAGGCCCCTGTCCTGCGGGTTCGTGGYGTTGATGGTCATTGTGCCACATGAGGTGAAGCCTGCCCTGTCCCTGTGTTTTAACCCATGAACTCTGAGACTGTTTCAGCCTGATTGTTCCCGTATCCTTTTCCCACTTTAGACAGTCAGTCCTTTCACTTCAGGGTGAAGTCCTCTTTTGTTCTTCACTTTCTGTCAAAGGTGTCCTGTGACCACATACTCGCCCTCCTGCTCCTCCCCTTCCCACTGGCCCGTTGCTCTCCTGCTGTGGAGCAGAGCTCCTGGCCTGTTCCCCCACACATGCTTTGCCTGCTCTCCCGCCTTGTGTGATGGCCATCCTGCCGGCCTGCCCCTGCCTGCCCCTGCCTGCCCCTGCCTGCCCCTGCCTGCCCCTACCGGGCTGGTGGCTTCCTCTGGGGCTCTGCCCTCTGTCCTGCCTCTCTCCACCTTCCCGTGAGGCTGCGCCTCCGAGGTGGTGGACCTGATCGGGCTACCCCTTGCTTCCTCACGCTCCATGGCGCTCCCGATCCAGGGCTGTGCCCGCTGAGTGGGGCGGGACCTGGGACCTGGGAGTGGCGGGTGAGTAGCATGTCATTTAGTCAGTTTTTGCCACTGTGATGAAAGGACCCGACCAGGACAGCTGTAGAGGAGCAAAGGTGTATTTGGGGCTCAGGGTTTCAGAGGTGCTAGTCCACGGCAGGCCAGCTCCATTCCTCAGGACATCCTGGCCGAGGAGTGTGGCAGAGGAAAGCGGCTCACAACGGCCATCAGTCAGCGGAGCCTCCACAGATACACCCCGGGGCCACGCCCCCCGCTTCAGGCCCCTCAGGTAATCCAGGGGGTTGATTCACTGATTGGGTGGAGACTCACAGCCCATCATTTCTCGAATCTTCTTGAACTGTCTCACATGTGAGCTTKGGGGGGACACCTCACATCCAAACYATAACATATAAATGACCCCAGAGGGGCTTGAAGGACATTTTGCCTCTCCCTGTCAGGAATAGATCCCAGAGCAGGCTTCTCCTGCCCCTCCCGTGTGCTCCCTGGAGCTGGGCCTGGCCGAAGGCAGTGATTTCCAAGCTCACCACAGAGGAGCCCCCTGCTGGAGAAAGCGAGCATTGGAGAGCCCRTGTGTGGCCCCTTTAAATGGCCACTTCCCATAACCCTGCTTGGGTGGTGCCCACCCTCTTCTCTGTAGAGTCAGTGCCAGGCAGATGTCAGCTTACCCCATAAATGCCTATAGAAAATGGATTGAATCACATTCCAACTCCTCAGTGTCTGTCCCTTTACCCATTTCCTCGGTCCCCCACCTAGTTTCCTGTCCTCTGGTCCTCGGAGGCCTATTTGTTGTGTGGCCCCTCCTTTTTTCTGTCTTGCACCTCGAGGCTGGGAGGGTGGAGGCCCTCCTCTTGATCCATCCCTTTTTCCCTCCCTCTTCCTGTGGCCTTGGTCTGTACTAACTCTGAGGCTGGCCTTGAATTTGCCACTCCTGCCTCAGCCTCAGTAGCTGGGTTTACAAATTCATTCTTGATCTTATTAAACTTTTGAGGATCTCATCTGGGGTGGACCCAACTTTTCTCAGGAAAGAGACCGAGAATTTACGGTTGGTCTCTGAGTCTRTAGAGGTAATGGGACTTTTTCATTAGAGTTTTCAGGTTCTCTTTGATTCCTTTTCTGTCCTATTCTCAAGGGCCCAGTGTGTCTTATAAATACTCAGTAGATAATCCTCAAGATTACTTCCGTCTTTCCTGTTCGAATTTGGAACCAGCTGTGCCTCACTACATGTATGAAGGTCTGGACACAAGTGTCTCTGCTGGAAAGGTCGTACAGTACTTTGTGGTTCTGTAACTGAACACAGCGGTTTGCCCCTTGGTGAGTGCAAAGCCAGTAACACAACCAGGGGATAAAAAGTGGGAAGAGGTTTACTTTTGTTAAGAAAAGAGAGCAGCAGGAATGAATCCTAAAGTCGTGTGTCTCCCTGAACTCCAGTGGCAAGAGGATTTTGTCAGGGAGACTTATAAAAACCCATACTAGGAATATTGTACTCACCTGTAGAGGCAGCACATTCCTGAGCATCCTCAGTTTGAGATCATGCTTTGTATTATCAAAGTGGCCTGAATGCCACTGAGGAGGAAAACACACAGCATTGTAGGGACATTATAATGAGCAAAGTTTACTCTGTGTCATGTAGTGGAGGGACTGAGTGGCTTTGGCTAGTTTAAACCAGTTCCTTGTGTTTTGTTCCCTGGGGGTCTTATCTGAAACTAACAACTTGAAGGGACTCAGCAGTCCCTTCAAGTATCTTCTTTCCCTACAAGCACAGATGGTTGCCCCTAAAAGTTCCTACTTAGTAGCAAACAATACCAGACAAAAAACTGAAGAATTATTAAGTACTTCCAGTGCATCCCCCTTGGAAGTCATGTCATGGTGTGAAGAGTATCCGTCAGCTTCACTACTTAGCATAGTAGGTGGTACACAGTAGGCACTGTCAACAAGTGAGTCAGTGGACGGTGTGCAGGACATTGTGAGCGCTGGTAGACTATTCTGGGCAGGACAGTGTGAAGGTGTAACTTCACACTGAAATATCCTAAGAGAAGTAGACTGAGTGGCCAGGGAAGAGACTAGTCAGTGTGAAAGTAAGTCTTGTATGTAAAATCCTCACACTCCTCTCCTGCTCTGGCTGTCAGGTGACACAAATGTGCTTCCTGTTCAGCGAAGGGTGGCAACTAAATACGTCCTCTAGACATTCTTATGAGATGCTGGAGAAAAAAAGAAAACACAAAAATGTAGTACACGGTAAGGATGTTATTTCAGTTAAGTATAAAATGGATGAATTATTCATAAAGATTGTCAGGATAAGCTGTTTAAAAAAAGGTTTGATTCTAGCTTCATGTGCCAAGATCAATTATATATGGATTAAATATTTAAATGTAAGAAAACCTATAAGGGTGAATACCACAGCATGGTCATATTTAATAATATAATTGGAAAGTTTTTTTTGTTTTTAGAGCATAACCTCAAAGCTGGATATTACAAATGAGAACAGAAAATTCATACAAATAAATATTAAAACCTAGTGAATTCCAAAGAAATTTCAAAGGCAAGGATAAACCAGGGAAAGTATTTTTTAAAAAATATTTTATTAGTTGCTGATGTGCTGAAGGCTGCTCGGCTGGGCCGCGTGGGCT